GGGGGGGGGGGGGGGGGGGGGGGGGGGGGGGGGGGGGGGGGGGGGGGGGGGGGGGGGGGGGGGGGGGGGGGGGGGGGGGGGGGGGGGGGGGGGGGGGGGGGGGGGGGGGGGGGGGGGGGGGGGGGGGGGGGGGGGGGGGGGGGGGGGGGGGGGGGGGGGGGGGGGGGGGGGGGGGGGGGGGGGGGGGGGGGGGGGGGGGGGGGGGGGGGGGGGGGGGGGGGGGGGGGGGGGGGGGGGGGGGGGGGGGGGGGGGGGGGGGGGGGGGGGGGGGGGGGGGGGGGGGGGGGGGGGGGGGGGGGGGGGGGGGGGGGGGGGGGGGGGGGGGGGGGGGGGGGGGGGGGGGGGGGGGGGGGGGGGGGGGGGGGGGGGGGGGGGGGGGGGGGGGGGGGGGGGGGGGGGGGGGGGGGGGGGGGGGGGGGGGGGGGGGGGGGGGGGGGGGGGGGGGGGGGGGGGGGGGGGGGGGGGGGGGGGGGGGGGGGGGGGGGGGGGGGGGGGGGGGGGGGGGGGGGGGGGGGGGGGGGGGGGGGGGGGGGGGGGGGGGGGGGGGGGGGGGGGGGGGGGGGGGGGGGGGGGGGGGGGGGGGGGGGGGGGGGGGGGGGGGGGGGGGGGGGGGGGGGGGGGGGGGGGGGGGGGGGGGGGGGGGGGGGGGGGGGGGGGGGGGGGGGGGGGGGGGGGGGGGGGGGGGGGGGGGGGGGGGGGGGGGGGGGGGGGGGGGGGGGGGGGGGGGGGGGGGGGGGGGGGGGGGGGGGGGGGGGGGGGGGGGGGGGGGGGGGGGGGGGGGGGGGGGGGGGGGGGGGGGGGGGGGGGGGGGGGGGGGGGGGGGGGGGGGGGGGGGGGGGGGGGGGGGGGGGGGGGGGGGGGGGGGGGGGGGGGGGGGGGGGGGGGGGGGGGGGGGGGGGGGGGGGGGGGGGGGGGGGGGGGGGGGGGGGGGGGGGGGGGGGGGGGGGGGGGGGGGGGGGGGGGGGGGGGGGGGGGGGGGGGGGGGGGGGGGGGGGGGGGGGGGGGGGGGGGGGGGGGGGGGGGGGGGGGGGGGGGGGGGGGGGGGGGGGGGGGGGGGGGGGGGGGGGGGGGGGGGGGGGGGGGGGGGGGGGGGGGGACGACGTCAGTTACTGATGATCCCTATAAGTCAGACTGAATTGAGAAACAGGGTATTATAGTTACATCACTTGACAAAATAATTTAATCCCAAAGACCTCCTCCTCCCATCCCTTCTCTCTCTCCCTTCCCTACCCCCCCCCCTATTTCCTCTCGGCCTCCTTTTTTCTCTTCTTTCGTTCTCCCTCTTCCTCTGCTTTATCCCATCCCCTTCGACGTGAACCGAATACCTACGCCTCGAAACGAAACCGCGCGCGAGAGAAGTGAGCAGCGAGAATGGAACTTCCTTTCCCTCCGTCCGTCCCAACCCATGCCGTCATGTTTGCACTTCCGAGTTTCATTCCTCCTCCTTTCATCTCGAATTTATGACGTCATCCTGTCACC